GTTTAAATGCGTAAATGTAACAGTGAGTAGCATAATTATTTTTTATGAATAGAAAAAAAAAGTAAAAGTTTGACGCCTATGCTGAAAGTAAGATTGTAAAAATGCTTTATGTTTCTGTGTGTATTTTAAATACACGTGGGTCATGCAAACCCATATGACGTTTGCTTATCTTCGTTCGAGTGATGAAGAGTTTGACTGTGTAATATTTCATCTCGTAGAAATTCCAGTTCCTCATTTGGATTTAAAACCAGAACTTAGAACTATATCCACACACAAACGTACGCAAATACAATACTACACACTAATGTTAAATTATCTTTAATTTCTTTATTTTCTTTTATTTACTATTTTATTGCAAAGTCGCACCATGGCGTAGTAGTTAACAGCTGGTCTCCCATTTTTAAAGAAGATCGATTCTACAAGGTACTCTCTCTTTGTAAGCCTTGTGGTGAACTACACTTTAGGTCCACATTATACACAATTTTTATTTAACATCACTTCAGATGTAATTTTTCCACGTGGTTACATTTTAAAATTTACTCATAAATGCGTATATACCTTTTTTAAATATCGAAACATTCTGTTTTTTTTACTGTGTACAACAAATACTCTGAAGGATTTGGAATGACAGCCTGTGTAACACATAATGGGTGTTTTTTAAGAATAAAAGAAAAAAATATTAATTATTAATGTACATCTTAAAAATATTACTAATATTATTAATGTACAAGTTAAATATTGAGTGGTAAATGTTTTTTACGCACTTATTGTCCCACATTGTACTCGTTTTTTTATTTCTGTGTGAATCCGAGTCATAGGCAATGTACATAACGTGTGTCATCATTGTGTACACTGTGTACACAATTACACTGATGTACAGTACACCGTGTACTGTACACGTCCGTAGTGTGTATGACATGAACAATGATTTATGACGTGTGCTTGAAAATTGTACACACGACGTTAATTAAAAAGTCGTGTAAATAATAAATTTAATAAATGAATAATGTACTCATCGATTCTTCTCTAATAAAGGGGTTTATTTGTACACTTGCAAAATCTGCCACTAACCAAAAAAAAACGTATTGGCGCTACGCAATCTTCTTGCTTCCCTAGCAGCTTATTGCTTGCTAATCATGGATAATCCAAAAAACATGTACCGTCGCTTTTATTTGCATTAGCATTACATGTACACTTGGTAAATTAGTGAAACTTTTACGAATTTTAAATTTAAATGTGTTCATTACTTTTTTTTTACTTTATAAAGAAATAATAATGGTAATAATGTGTACTCAAATTTAAAAGATCACACGAACACAGAATTACAATTACAACTTTTTTTCATTGAAGCAAACATAATAAGCAAGTACTCACACAGAAAGATTGTTTTTTGTTTTTTTATTAGTCTTTTTTATTCTTAAACCATTTTTATTCAAGGAGATACTACTACTAAAAAATAAGCTTTTCTTTTTCTACCCATCAAAACAAATAATTAATTTAAAATTTTTAAATTAAATCATTTTGATCTCTCGTGATTGTCGTTCAATGTGCAAATGGCGAAAGGAAATTATTTTAAAAAATAAATTTTCAACTCTGACTCTCAGCGAGAAGACAGACACAAAAAAAAAGAAAGAAAGATGAGCTCTCTTTTTACTTTTATGTATTTTTCAGTCTAAAAATTACATACGATGACGAATTTTTGGAGGAAAAATGACACGACTTTTTTTAGTTACTACTTGAGCTGCCAATTCTTTTTTCTTTCTCAATCTCTTCATCTTTCTTCATATTTCAGTCTCTTCATCTGCCTATCTATCTCAGTCTATCTCTACCTAATTATCAGTCGGTTCATTTCATATCTATGCTCATGTCTATCCATGTAATTGTAAGAAGTGTAATGTCTGTCTCTATTTATCAATCTATCTATCTATATCTCCACCTATCTAAATTATCAGTCTGTTATGCTCATCTACCTCAACCTGTTCATAGTTGTGTAGTCTATCTAAATTTCATCTATTTATCTAAATCTGCTCATATCTCTCTAAATCTGCTCATATCTATCTCTAAATCTGCTCATAATCTATAAAGAAAGCTGTTCATATCTATTCATACTGTTCTATGTCTGTTCCTAAACCAGTGTGTCTATATATCTGGAAAAGCTAGTAATTAAAATAAAATTAATAACCTTTTTAGAACCAAAAAATACAGTTTGCAGTTATTCTGTACCATAAGTGTGCATTATTTAAAAAAATTACATTCCCCAACTTAATTTTTACATCTAATAATTTGCATACCACATGAGATTCGGAAAAGAATCATTTCTTTGTGCAGTAATCATTTATTAACTTTTTTTTAAATGGAATTTGTTAAAGTAATGAAAAACACGTGAAGAATTTAAATATGATGGAGCCGGGTGTGGTACATTAAAAAACAAGTCATTCTATTTTTAAATAAATTCTGGGCTGATCATCCGAGAGAAACCAACTCCTTTTCAAAATGAACTGAAAATGTAACATTTTTTTCTTTTCTTTTTTTTTTTACCTAGTCACATATTGCAGGCACGCCTTAAATTTTTTTAAGCAGTCTGCTCACAGGAGCTCTAAAATAGGGAAAATATTTTAATTTCACCAAGTACCAATTATATTTTCTTCATAAATATTTTATTTGAAGACAAAAAAATCGCTTTCTTTGTAGTGTAACGATTTGATCTGATTTTTGCTTCTTTTTTTTAATCATTTCATAATTCATTGGTTCGTTACTCTGACTGGAAACGTTATTTTAAAAAGGCGTATCCTCCCCACCTGGCTATATAGTGATTTATAAAAGCGCAGGTACAAGGCCGGAAATATGGAGCACTCATAGAGAGAGAAATAAATCTTTCAGTGATTACAATACACTGGAAAAGTTTGACTTGGGAAATCAATGCCTTAGAGACTAAGAACTACTTCGTCTGAAATGAAGAAATCGGATGATTTTATAGTAGTAGTATTTTTCTCTTAGAATGCAGACTCATTAGTAACAATTACAAAGGAAAGAAGTCGTGTCTCGGTTTTTAGTGAAAGGCTAAGGAAAGATGAATTTTTTCTCATTATTGGTGGTCCAATGGCCAAGATAAAAAGGGGGGTATTGTCTGGAGAGAAAAGGCGAGAAAGAAAAAAATAATGCCTGAGACACAGAGAGACACTTCTTAGCTCTTCTCTTTAGAAATCATACGATACCAACAGACTGGGTTTTTTTGTTTTTTTTTACTTTTAGGAGATTTTTTTTTAAAAGTTGAGGTCTACACGGTTTTCGTTTTGGTTTCCTGCTTTAAAATATTTTAGAAATTTTTAGATAAATTTAATTTAAATTTATTGAGAATAATGCAAAATTAAAAATATATTTCTGAACCAATGAATAATAATTTGAAGCTTTTCAAACTGATATTGTAAAAAAATTGAAATGTTACATGCCTATGGCCGTAACAAATTTAACGTTTCTCATGAGAAAAAAAAAAAACAGTAATATTTTTTATTATTATATATCGAAATTTAATTTTTTTTTTGTAATTATTAATAAAATTGATTAACTGTTAATGAATACATGCTTGCATCTGTGTGTTTTTTAATGATGCTTCCGAAAACGAAATCATCTAGACTTGCGTTTTACAAGAACATCAGTGAAAGATGGTAAGTGGAAAAAAAAAAAAAAAAAAAAGAATTACTCAAGAAGACTGAGTGAAGAGGTGATGAAATTCATAAAGTTACCCACCGTGATGCCTGTCTTAGGGCAATGGTTAATAAACCCGCGTGTGATAAGTCAATCTTTATTGGCTCAAGTGAAATGGATCCTTTAAATTCATTATGGTAACCTTGTGCCAAATAAGCTTAGTGAATACAGTGCCTGGCTTAGAGCGATATTTAGCAAGGTAGAATGGATGTGGACCATTATTATTAGCTAGTAAAGTGACATCGACCCTCATGGCCTTGTGCCAGATTAATAAGCAAAAAAACAGCGAAAACAAAACTCTATTTCTCAAATACGGAAAAAATCATACACATACAATTCAATGCTTATTACAATAAAATAAATACACACATACACATACTGCGATATAGAATTACACACAATAAGCATCATTCAATAAAACAATTTATACATACATTTACGCAACAAATGTGTGTTAAATGAAATGTTAATATTTTTGGAGACTTTGTTCAAGACATTTTTGGACAAGGGACAAATAAATTTTATTTTAATGAAAAAAAATGGTATTTCAATTTCATTAAAATAAATAAAGCAGGTATTTTTTTTTAAAAATCATGCAAAAAAATTGTATTTTAATAATTCAACAAATAGACAACCAGTAAAATAAATTCAGTTAAGGATTTTTAAAAAAGGCAAAAAAAGGCAGCAATATTAAAAATAAAAAAATTAAAAAAAGAGGGTTAAAATTGGAAGTTTAGAAATTAATTTTAAAAACATTAAACAAGGTTAACTTAGGGATGGATGCTTTGAAAACTTTAACAAATGAAAAATAATATATTATTTGCTGATTCAACATATAAGTTAATATTTTTTTATAATTATTTTTTGCGGGGAACGAAATAAAAATGTTATATTTCAGTTTCAAATATAGCAAGTTTTCAGTAAAATAAAATAAAATTTAAGTTTCAAACCGAATAAAACTATTTAAAAAGCATGATACAAATGTCAAAAATCATTCGTTTTTAATAATTTAAAAAACATTTATGCATTTTTAAATTCGAAAACTAAAACATTTAGATTTGGAAAACATTAGTTTTTTTTGTTTTTTGTTTTTTAGTAAGTTAATTTTTAGTACTTAAATAAAAGAAAACATATTTCGAAATTGATAAATGAAAAAAAAAAGTCAAATAAATTAATTAAACACAACCAATGGTTTTTTACTTTTATATCCAAAATGAAAAAGAGAAAAAAAATAAAATGACAATATTGTATACTATAATAATATATATTTTAAAAGAATTAAAATAAAGTCTTACCAGCTGTTTCATGATAGAACATGAAGCACATGAAAATCACAAATAGCATCCTGGCCATGACTGTTTTAAATGAAGCCTGGAACAGGTTGATAGGGATCTTGGTCACTTAAGGGTATCCACCCGTTAATTAAGGGTATAAACACAAAAACACTCTTTTTTTTATCAAATACACAAAATAATAATAAATAAATAAAAGAAATATATATTCTTGTGTAGTTTTAAAAGTAGTAGTCAGTTTCGACTACACACAATTATTCATGTGTGAATGGATGTGTGTGGGTACGTGTAATTATGTATGTGTATGTGACAGAGTCTATATATTAATATATATATATATATATATGTCAACACATGTATATATATATATATATATATCAATATATGATGTGTGTTGTAGAGATTCGCGTGTTTTGTAATAAATCCGCTTTTATGGTTGTTTCCGATGACAGTGTGTTTTTTTTTTTTTTTTAAATCCTTGGAGTGGTTGGCCGGTGAGGTGATGATGATGTAAAACACAGAAAATATGGAATTTCAGGAAGGTTAATAGAAGTGAATTAAAATAAACTAAAATGATAATTTTTTTCCGCCAAAAAAAAAAAAAAAAAAGATAAAATATGAATTTGGTGTTGTATAATAAATTTAAACGTACAACCTTTGATGGATAGGAATAATCAATGGGAAAGTATATAAATAAATGGGTTTTCCTCCCAAAGTAAATTGTGTGTTGCTTCGTCTGTTCTTTGGGTTTTTGGAGTTTGTTTTTTTCTTTTACTTCTTTTTTCTGTGTCTGAAGTCTGTAACTGAATGACAACAGATCCGAAAAAAGGCAAAATCTTCTTCGATAAGAATTTTACAGGAAAACAGATAAATAATTAGCAGCAGCAGCAGCAGGTTTTATACGAGTAGTAGTAGTAATAGTAATTGTAGTAGTAATACGAGTCGTTATAGTAGCAGTAGCAGTAGTAGCAGTAATGGCAGTAGTAATAGTGGTGATATTCGGGCTGTCTCTACAAATGTTCAATATTTGTGTTTAAGCAAACGAAATCTACCCCCTTTTATATTGATCTACGACAATAATTGTTTATTTGTAATTCTACGATCGCATGATTTTGTTTATTATCAATAAATAAAAAGAGATCATAATGTAATCAACAAGTAGTGGTAGTAATCAAAGATTTTTAATTTTAAGAAACATCTTCATTCTTCATAGTATTTTTACTGTATTTTTTATACTTTTTTTGAAGAAAATTATTTATTATTATTATTTATTTTCTATAAAAGATGATTTTATTAAATTATTACATTTTTTCATTTTATTTTACATATTTTAAAGTTTAAAATTTATTAAATAAAACTTTTTTTTAGACTTTTTTCTTTTTTACCTGTTTTTAGTATTTATTGTCAAATCAAAAGTATTTTGTTTTATTTCTCGTTAAACGAAAGAAAAAAAATGCGTAAGCCGGCTTCTTCATTTTCTGGAGGTTACATCTGAATATCACAAAAATGACATTGGTACACAGGTATACAAACTAAACATCAAAAAGTAAACTGGCAAAAACTGAATAATTTATTTCTATTATTGACATTTTTTGAATAATGTATATTTACTATTGCCTTAATTAAAAGCTAATAAGTAAACTAACACTAATTTTGTGTTGAGTTATTTAAAAACTAAAAAGTCATTATCATTGCAACAAATCCTACATCATAGCTTTGAACTTAAATTCTAATTCATTCACTTACAATTCAGATAGATAGATAGATAGATAGATAGATAGATAGATAGATATGAACAGGCTGAGATAGATGTCAATAAGTATGTGTCAAGGTTTATGTGAGTAGTGACTGAAGACGCGAAATATGGCTTCATAAAATATTGATATATTCGAGTTTTTAACTTTAAACTTATTGTGTATACAAAGAGTTGTGTTTTTATATATTTAATTGTAAAAAAAGAAGCCTTTTAAAAATGTATGCATGTTAAGTGCACGACATTAAAATGTTTTTATTAAAAAACAATGAGTAAAAAAGAAGCACATGTTCTAAAAAATGCAATTTTGGTTGAACATAATATATTATTATTATTATTATTATTATCATTATTATTATTATTATTATTATTATTGAATTAGTTATAAGAAGAAAAAGATGTATAAACGTGAATTTCTTTTAAGCCGGCATGTTGGAGGCAGCCGGTAATATCATAGACGGAGGCTGGGGGGCAGCTCATTAATATTAATGAGATCAGGCCACATTGAGGAAGAGTTTTCATGCTTTTCAGTACGACTACCACTACTCTTTTCTTTCCTTTTTCTTTCTTTTTATTTTTTATGGGCAGAATTCTGAAAATAGACTGATAGATAAAGACAAAAAGCCATGAAATACTCAGTTGGTGAAAAGAAATAGTATCTCTTTATCCTTCACTTATTTTTCATATTTTTTTCTTTTAAATTAACAATAAGTGTGAGAGAATAGGTCGTTAAATTGGGGGCATTTCTGGCAAAATTTTTCTGTACATGTGACATGAATGCGTATTTTTTTTTTTTTTTAGTTGTTTTTCTTTTCAGTCTCCCGTTTCTTTCATATTTTACTTGAATTATTTTCTTTATTTTAACTGGATTTATAAACTCGCAATGTGAAAAGAAAAAGGATTACTTTTTAAGTCTAAGACAACCATTCAAGTTGACGTAAGTAAGGATATTTTTACAACTCCCTATTCCACAAACAAAAACGAAAATAAAGATTCAATTTCAACTATTTTTTAGTCTTTGTACGAAAATTTAACAAAGATTTTGCTGGATAATAAATATTTTTGAATATCATATGCTTCCTGTAACATCTAACAATTTTTTCTCGGTTTTCCAAGTGGAGAGAAACAAAAATAGAGACCCCCACAAACATTTTTACACACAACTCTTGAGCTTGACAAGCCCAACTCCATTCATGATGTTTAAGTACGCAATCATTAAAAGTAAAACTAAAAAAGAAGCGCGCTTTTTTATCTTTTATAGAGTTAAGAAATATTTTTGAAAATTTCACGATCTGATGTAAATTAGCAAGAAGACTATTAATTTTTTTTTATTATTGTAACTTACTTTCCTAAAGATAAATGCTTTTTAAATTGTCTGCCTTAGTTCGTAGTAAAATGCAGTTTTAGTAGTAGCACGCGGAAAATAATGAACGCATTTTAAAAATTACCCAACCTTTCTTTCACCGAACAGTCAGAAAGTTAAATTTAATTACTTTTAATGTTATTTAATTCAGAATAGAACTCATTAGGAAGACCGTTTGATATTTTAAATAGGTTTTTTTGTTCTTCGTGGAGTGAGCCTACGTAGCTTATGAATAATAATTAAAGTGAATCATTTATGCTTATGCAGTGATCATACGATATGAAGTGGTGAATGGGAGGCTTGGTTTTAGTAAAAGACATCCCCCACCTTCTGTTCTATTACTTGTGCTGCAACATATTGACATTTTTATTTATCGTACGATATTGTTTCACAAGTTAAAGGCAGGAACATTAAAAATATTTTTTATCCACATCATCAAACCAAAAAAATAACAGTTGAGTAACAACACGTATTCTTTACTGCCAATGTTAGTTAAATAAATTAAACTAAAGTTGTTGGGGCTTTTTTTATTTGATTGGAATTGTGCTTTCATTCCAGCCTGTTCTCGAAGCAATAATAGACGAATAATAATAATAATAATAATAATAATAATAATCTAGATACTTGGAAACACCCTTAATCGGAGACCATAGGCAGACTAGGTTACTGGACCTGAAAGTATTTCTAACTAGGCCCCACCTGCAAGCGCGCACATTTGGACGTCATGCATGTGTCTGGTATATATACGCTTCCCTTTCAAATTGGGCTCATGAATAATATTGAGCTTTATTTACTCAATAATAATAATTTTTTTTTTCATCTATGAAACTCAGAGTTTATCCATACTAGAGTAAAGAAACACTTCACAGAGCTCACAAGATCCAAGGCAGGGAATATTAAGGTCATGGACATGCCTAAAATAATCGATTGACAAAACCTCGTAAAACACACACGCCTATTACTTCAAACGTTATTTTAAGTGAATACCTGTATTTGAGTAAGACGCTCCATTTTTATTTATTTATTTTTTTACTTTTTTTTTAACTGTTTATTTCGTCTACCGGCCTGCACAATCGAGAAATATGACCTCTGACAGGATTCGAAACTGCATCCTCCTCTGAAGGAAAAACAACCGTCTGATCCGGCGTGCTTTGAACGCTCAACTACGGAGAGCTTCACATCCAAACATGGTTCTATTTGCCTTTAAAGCACATTTACTCATTGAGATTTTCTCGAAAGCCATATCTGCTCTTTTTCGTATTCAAAACGTAAACAAAGCAATTTTTAAAGAATTAATAGATTTTATTTTTAAACTCAGACATATTCATATATATCGAAAACACTCGATGAGAGACGAGAAGAAATGCCGATTCCTTAAATAGTTGAGGCTGTTGAGATATCTATCCTTTCTCTTTCCTCACTTAGTATACACCGCAACAGATGGATCATGTAACCTTTAATAGCCAATCAGCAGAGACCTGGTATTTTTTTAATGAATTATTGTTTTCATAGACGTCAATGAGGAAAGATGTGTCCCTGACTTATGAGTAGAGACAACCTTTTGCAACATTCTCTGGATCCTCTTTCAGGGTTGGAGAGAAGGCAATTTTAAACCGTGACATGTTTTCATTATGAGGAAATAAAACTTTATTTTCATTCTTCCGTTTAGCCGTTTATTTTTTCTTTCTTTTTTTTTTCTTCATTATAAATGATTTGGTAGACATCTAGAGGGTGGTCCGAAAATCTTGTCACCCGCTACCTCACTTCCAAACTGTAGAAGTTCGTGTCAGCCATCTGAAATAGAAAATAATATCATGTATGGGTGACAAGACTTTCGGATCACCCTATACTTCGACGTGTATATATCGACAAGGCCATTCAGGATTCCTTTAGGGGACTCAACAATGCTATACAAATCACAGCAGTCCTGGAGCCAGCGAAAATTACCGAGAAAAGTTCTTGAGATTTGAGGATCACTCGATCCCCACTAATAACCCCAAGACACATCATATAAAATTCAAATGCCTGAGAAAAGGAATCCTTTAATATACCAGAACAAACTACCAAAAGCAAAAATTGATAAAATTTTAAAAATATAAAAATGTCGCCACTTTAAAAATTAAAAAAACTATTAACGAATGAGACAAGCAGACTAAAAAGCAATATAAGAGAGGCCTGATAAATTACGAACAGTCATACACTAGGAACGTTGCAAAAAATTTGGCTTCAACAATGGTATCAGAATAAACAGCGGTAGAAAAAAAAAAAAACGATACGCCGGGACCAGAATCGGCGCAAGGGTCTCGTGAAACCACCCAATATATAATATGCCCCCAATCTATACTACGCCTCTGAATCTATGATACAGCCCCTTTCCACTTCACCACATCTCAGTTTTTCACAAGGTAGTATTCATATAATATTTTATTATCGCCTAATTATATACAATAATGGATCATATGCTTTATAGATGAACAATTCATCTAGAAAAATTGAAAATAAATACAATGTATCTAAATACACATTAGAGACATAGATCACCCCATCTTAAATAAATCAACAATGTTTTGTGGCAATTTTTAACATTAACTTGTGACTTTTCTTGTTAAAAAGTCCAATAATTTTAACACATCCAACATTATGAATAAAAAATAGTGAATTTTATATAGTGTTTTTGGAGACTTATCATGAGCAAAACAAATTCACGGATTTGAACAAAAACAAATCTGTCTCTATTTCTCAGATTGTATTGTAATTAGTTATACTATTTACATTATTCGGACTGTTGTCCCCATCTTTGTTGCCATATTCACGACGTTTCTTCAGGTGAATGGAATTTCGAACTAAACCCTTTATTTCGTCCACCGGGTTAGATTGTTCTAGTTCCACGTGCCATACCTCTTCCGGATGTCTCAGTTATCTCCCTTTAACTCAACTCTCCAAGTTTCTGTTCATCACTGCAGTAGCCAGGTATTGAACTCACAACTATTTAGATTAAATCACTGGAACCAACCAACGCTTTTTTCCACTGGGCCATGTGTCCTTGATGTTCTCTGTCTATTATTTCAACCTTATCCCAGAAGGGGTGGTACGCTCCAATTTCCCCCCACCCATATGTGGCCAGCTCCGCCTGATTTTTCTATTTCTCCTCGTGTTACAGCTTTAGGGTGATCTTTCAGTCTTATGTTAAGGTTGGGCGCGCCTTGTTTCCCCTTACAACAGCTGCACGGGATGGCGCACACACAGTACTTAGTCATGTTCTCCTCTCTGGGAAGAGGGTCTTACTCGGAAGAGGTATCTGCGAATTATTGAACTACTTTTGAAGGCCGTCCTGATGTTATATGGACCACAGATCTTTTGTATTTTTCCGACAATCCCTTCACATAGGGTAGACAGACCAAAGCTGTTTTCTGAGTGTTGCTATCCTCTTGTACTTTTCTATCCCAGTTTGTCGGAGCTGCTGCCATGTACCCAGGTTAGTTGTTACGTTGTAGGGTACTACTAATACTGACTATGTTCATATGTCTCTGGGTCGGCATTATGACTTTTGCTCGATGCTGTTAGCAATGGGCTCGCCATTATCACCAGCAATGCCAAACATATACATGGAATACTTCGAAGAAATCTGCATCACTAAAGCCAACCTAAGATATGTAGATGACACCTCCATATTCCGGCCACACAAGGAAGAGGTCCAGCTACTACTGGACCGTGTGAACTCAATAAGATCATCGATACGGTTTACAATGGGGAGAGA